CTAAAATCTAACGATGGTTATATAATAGCAGCTGCATTCTGACGTGATAAGCTGTATGTTTTATATTCAATTAAAGTATGATCCGATTAGTCGACTAATCGAATAAATAATTGGTGATTAATCGATTATTAAAATAATCGTTTGTGGCAGCCATAGCCAGAGCATGTGTTACTATAAAATATAAAATATTAGCTGTTTAAACCATCATGTTTGTCTTTTGTTCCCTTGCAGAATGTTTGGCAACCGCCACAGCCAAACAATGAGAGGCATCCTGAAGAGAAAGTTTGCAGAGGTAGACAACTATCCCTGCTACTCCTCCTCCTTCTCCTCCTCCTCTTCTCCTTCCTCCCTCTCCTCCCCTGCCTCCTCAGAGTGGGAGTCCGACGGGGAGGGGAGCTCACCCGAGAACCAGGATTTCACACCTCACAGTCCCGCCTCACCCTRCCGCTTGCCCAGTAAGTTTCCAAGTCTGCGACCGACGTTTGTTTCGCTCCCTCCTTTTTTAAATAATGCAAAGCTCTTCCTTATCGGCCCGTTCGCTGGTCGAGTGTTTTACAGGAGTGTCTCTTATCAGCCTGAAGCAGAAGTTAGAACTGACTGGTATGAAAATGCTTGTTCTAGATAACCCCTCCTCGGTGGCTGTCTGGCGTTGTAGAAGATCATTTGCCTGAGCGGTAGGAAGTTGTGGGATCAATTTGAATAGCAGGGCTGCTTTAAACAAGTCGTATCAAATGACTTTATGTGTGGACATGAAGCTGCTCAAGGCAGAGCTTAAATGGAGCCAAAAGGATACAATTTATCCCTTTTTTTTCATTTCAGTGATTTCATGGTGTGCACAATGGTAGATTTTGATGATACACAGTGTAAATAACACAAGAAAATGCTATGGCATATGCAAATAGAAATTACTAGACCATATTCTCTTTTATGAAGTAAAAAACCCATTTGGCACAGTTTTGGGTGCATGTGGCTAAATTGTGCCAAAAGGCCATTTCCCCCTGGCACACTGCTCACTAAAACCTTTGTGAAATGAATATACACTGCTAAAAAAAATAAAGGGAACACTTAAACAACGCACGCTAACTCCAAGTAAATCAAACTTTTGTGAAGCACATTCAGCTCTGTACAGAACAAAGTACTCAATGCGAATATTTCATTGATTAAGATCGGGAGTTAGCGTGCCTTGTTTAAGTGTTCCCTTTATTTTTTTGAGCAGTGTACTTCAACTTATTCAGTCCTACTTTGCTACAGTTATTCTCAAGATATAGATGTATAAAATCTAAGGGCATTACTGTGTTTTCACAAGAATTTTCATTGTGTTTTGCACGGTTGATTTAAAAAATAATTTAGGCAAGGCTAAAAAATTGAATGTTTTTTTTAATTTAATCACAAGTAACCCAGGCACAGTAAGAGTTACAATTATCTTTAACATGATCTTACTTTTACAGAGGTACCAAGAGTTAGCATTTAGACCTTATAACTGTGGAGCTGTTCTTGATCTATTTTGCTGTGTATTTTTAGGCAGAAATGACCTCTAAAAGCTCTTAGGGTTTTACAGGTTAACTTCTGCAGCGACAAAATACGATGCACAGCTCATTCTGTTAAGTCACCAAAGGTGAGGCACTGTCTGTGATAGACATCATCAACGCCGTCCAAATTACAGCATAGATACTAAGCATAAATCCCCAAAAAGTGATGAGTCAGCTGTACCGAGAAGACAAATAAAGCACTAGGTGGAGAAAGAAACCCTCACAAAACAAGTGATAGTGAAATGTGGAGACAAAATGATCCAGTCGACACAGATCCTGATCCAGAATATCCAAAAAGAGGCCCAGCCTGATCTCAGGAAGGCAGCGAGCCCGACACCAACAAAACAAACTGTAGAACAGGGTGGAGGGAGTCTGTGGAAAAGGGGAGCGAGGGAGGACATCCAGACACAGTGTTGGACACTCACAAACAGAGAGGGTTYGACGGATGTTTTCAGAAAGGTTACGGTAATCTCTTCCTCGGGACAAACAGGGTCCACACTGGTGGGCTTAAAAGATTCCGACTGGAAGTGTTTATACAAACAGAGCAGACGACACGAGCTGAGCCAGCTGCTCTCTGCTTTGCTACCATCTTCTGCAGCTACTGAAGCTCAGCCTCAGCTGTCTGAAAGGGTCAGACGAGTAGTGAAGGARAAACTGGTGGACATTAAAGAGCAGCAGACTCATTGTGTTCTGTCAAAGCTGAAAAGAATGACAAACTCCCACTCTGCTCTGTACTGTCATTGTTGTTACAGAGCTTTCTCCTTGGTATTTCCTTCTCACATAGATCTTCAACTATTGACCCAAACTGAAGGAAAGCACCTGCAGTCTGCCCCCTAGTGGCCATATAGAGACTCGAACATTTTTCATGTTCAGCATCAGATTTTATAAACTATCGAGGAATTTTTCAAGAATTGTGCATACCTGAATATAAATATTAACACACACTTCAGTTTTTTTTTTGCTTGTTGCTGAAACTAAAAGCACAAACAGGCTATTTTTATTCAAGTATCCTGTTTGTTTTGCAGGCAAAAACAATGGGCCTCATGCAAGAACCGTTCGTACGCACAGATTTGTTCTTAAATTGTGCGTACGAGTGATTTAGGAGAATTTGTGGCATTCACCAATGTTTTCGTATTCTACGATTTTTTTCAGATACGAACAAAATTCACGAGTGGTCCAGACCTGTCGTACATTTTACGAACAGCCAGTCTGCTGTTATCCAGACGGGTTTTCTTCACTAATAACTTTATATTTCGTTAGTTTGAAGATAATTTGAGTTGAAAATAAATCACACTCCATAATTATGTTGATAATAGGCTATTCTGGGGGGGTTACGGTGCGCAGCGCTGTGTCTTCTGAATAAATGAAAATGATTTAACACAGTTGTTTATACTTTTAGCAGCTCTTTTTATCCCACAGCTGACCTGCTAAAAATGACAGATTTTCTTTTCTGGATCTCTGACAGACGGACTTCAATCTCTGAACTCGTAAAGTTTTTCTTTTCAGTTTTCGCTGCCATTTTCATGAATGGACACTTCCTGATATCTGAGGCAGGAAACATAGCCTTATATGGTGTATTTGGGGTGGTAATTATGCTAATCTCCTCTCGCGTGCACGAGCAGCTGGATAGAACAGGTGGACATTTATGCAGCTCATTTACGCACGTTTCCTGAAGATAGAAGTGTTTGTTGAYTCTGACGTGACATGTTCGTACGAACCCTTTGTACGAACAAAAGTAAGAGAAATTTAGGATAAAAATACGAACATGTTCTTGCATGAGACCCAATGTTTTTACCCGTGTATGCACATGGGTTCATAGTATGTTTGATACCAAAATGAACCACTGAAAAGGTTTTAATGAAACTTGCAACAGGTAATCACTGGATGTTCATCGAAAACACACATTTTTGGAGTCACCTCAATTCAAGATGGCTGCCACGGCCAGCTGACCTTAGAAAATGCAAAAATGTATATAATTTTGTCAGTTTTACGGATATTGTGTTAAACTTTGGTGTGTTTGTAGCTGAGAGGCATTCACACCATTCTGATGGCGTTACGCATGAAGTTACTTTCAAGGTTTGACCTAAACGGCTCCAACTCCCATCATTTCTCACCGTCTAAAACCTAAACTCAGAGATGAGAGGCGGCAGGTTTTAGGCATCTCTTAGCAAATAGAAGTATACAATTATCTATTAAGGATACTAATTTTAAACTAAAAATAAAAAGTATACTTCCACTTTATGCACTTTTATGTACTTATCTGAGATATACTTAACCATGTTTATCTGATACTGTACTTGGCTTGCACTAAAAATATACTAAAAGTTTAAGTATACTTAATCTTTACTAATGTTTAAACTTTTGGCCAAAATAAATTTTAGGAGTACACTGAAAGTACATTTTCACTTATTGTATTATATTGCAAGATTAAACTAAAAGTGTACTTAGAAGAATTCTTTGAGTATACTTTCATAAATTTATTGTGGGCCAATTTAGTCCTTGAAGAATACATGTTAGTAAACTGTTAGTATACTTACATTAGTGTACATGGTAAATAAAAATACACTTAGGGAAATACACTTTTATTTACTTTAGTTTACCGAATAACTTGTACCTAAATTATACTTCTTTTGTTCAAAAACTTAAAAATACATATAACAGTATACTTAAAGTGTACTTTTTATATACACAAAAGTCCCAGTTTAGTATGAACAAGTATTAAATCAATATACTTTCTAGTAGACTACACGGTACCTAGTATACTTGAAATGCTTAAATCTTTACTCAAGTACACTTATTAAAATGAACTTCAAGTATACTACTTTTTGTTAAGGAATTCCTTTAAAAACAAACTGTACCTGAAAATAAATAGCATCTACAGTAAATTAAGGTAAAATCTATATCAGATATTTAAGATATCTCTTCTAACAAAACAAGTTTCCCCAGTTTAGAGTACTTCTTACAAAACTGAAACATGTTGCAACTTTTCTGCCAAACACATAAAAAATTGTTAAATTACTATATTGTCTAGTTAAATAATGCAGTATGTGTTTGTTTTTTTTAACCAATCAGTGGAGTCCATCCTGAAGAGGCCCAAGCTCGTAAAAGGACAGAGCAGCGTGCGCTTCGACCAGGTGCTGGTGTACAGTTTCCCCCGCTGCCAGGGCTTCACCAGCGTCCCCAGCCAAGGSGGGGCCACCCTCGGCATGGTGCGCAGTCACAGCGCCCTCCGGAGGTACACGGTCGCAGAGCACGCCATGGAGCAGCGGCACCGGCGCAGAGAACGYCACAGGGAAAAACTGAGGCAGAAGAGGTTTGAGGCGCTAAAACGCAAAGTAAGTGTTTACTGCGGTCACTCTGTGTTTCCGCGCACAGACTTCCTCTGACTTTAGTGTCGATTTCAGCTGGTCATGAGCAGTGCCGTGGGCCGCCACGAAGCGGAAAAGCTCACRGCGGAGCAGGTAGTAGAAGAAGAAGAAGCTGAGCTCCACATCGGTGACTCTGACCTGGAGGATGGAGGCTTCCTTCAACCGATCTCCTCCAAGCAGCGACAGGCTCTGCTGCTGGCTGCGGGGGTGAAAGCCATCGACAAGGAGGAGAAGAGGCAGCTGCACGGGCTGCGGCTGTCCAGAGAAGCCTGTGGATGTGACTGTCAGGGCTTCTGTGAGCCCGAGACCTGCGCTTGCAGCCTGTCTGGTATCAAGTGCCAGGTAACAGATTTTTTAATAAAATTTGCACCGTGATGTTAAATGTGACCCATCGTATCGAAATGAGGATTAAGTCAAATTTGGTCAAAATGATCMAACTACATTTTCAYATTCTTGGCTTTAAAAGCTACATTTTGATACCTGGATCATCCTGATATCACCAGCTTAACCAGAGATATGACTTAATTTGTCTTGTTGGTTATGATAATACATTACTGTTTGGTCTGAATCCTAACTTTACATACATTTATTGAGTATTTTTTGATGTTAATATAAAGAGTAATCCTCAAATAGTATTTGTATTTTAAGATTTCCCAGTTGGAAAGAAACAAAAACATTGCTAGCTCACAGGGAAAAATTCAAAATTTTAAGAAGTTTTTCCTCAAAATCAGGTTTTCTGTTGCTACTGCTCAAAAAATGCTTCAAAACATTTTTTTAGGATTATATTTCAGAAAGTTCATTCAAATGATACATTGATAAGGCATTTATTCATTATATTTTGACAAAATGCAGTTTTTGCACACATTTAAATCAAAACCCTGTTTCTCCACATTCCACTTTTGGACTTAATCCTCATTTCGATGTGATGAGTCACATTAATAATTACAGTTAAGTTATATATATATATATAATCATTTGACCGACAGGTGGATCGATTCAACTTCCCCTGTGGGTGCACGAAGGACAGCTGTGGAAACACGCAGGGCCGCTTCCAGTTTGACGCCAGGCGTGTGCAAACCCATTACATCCACACGGTGATGAGACTCGACCTGGAGAGGCGTCTGCGTCGCGAAACTGTAAACCCGGAGGAGCAGACGGAGCTTCCAGAGGAGCTTCAGGAACTCCGAACCCAGGGGGACGTTTGCCTCGAGCCGAGCGCGCAGGAGAAGAGGTGTCCCTTTGCGAACGCCTTGGAGGAGGACAGCCTTCCTCTCACCATGCCGGACGCCCCGTCCTTCCACTGCCTTCCTGAGCAGTCAGCGGTCGGGGAGAGCAGCTGCAGCAGCGACATGTCGGAGTCCTCCTGCTCCTCCTCGGACTCGGACGCCGGAGCTTTTCTCACACAGAGTTCTCCTGAAGCGGGCGGCGCTTTGACCTGTGCCCTCAGTTTGTGTGACTCCCGGAACAATCACTGCTTCACGTGCAGCCAGCTGAGGAACGTTAGAGAACCGCTGACCTCTGAGCCTCACACCACTGACGGTGCAGGACCACGTGCAGCCATCYCAGACAGCATGGGTCCAAGCAGCACTTACCTGGACGAGAACGCAAACCAGTCCAGAGACTTCTTTGACGAGGACTCGTTCGAGGACTTCCCCCACGCCACGCCCCCCGCTGTGGACTACTCCTTGAGCAGGTACATGGACCTGAGCCTCTCCTCTGATTCCGACCTGGAGTTCTTCCACAGGGACTACCCCTCCGGACCGCCGCACAGCTCGTTCAAAGAGCACAGACACTCAGACGGCATTCAGCACTTGCAGCTGTTCAGCTCCGTTCATTTACCGCAGCAGGAGTCCAGCACCCACCTGCTGGAGTCTCTGATCGGCCTGACCGAGCCGAGCGCTGAGCACATTTATTCACTCACAGAGAGTCACCTTTATAGCTCTTTTTAATCTTGTAATATAGAAAGTGTATAGGAAAAAGAAATGCAGAGTGCTTTTATATATTCAAAGGATTCATTATCTTATTTTTCTATTATATGAATATAACTTTTTGAAAGAAACCACACTTGAGTAAGTTATGTGTCTTATTTTATTTTAATTTTTTTTAATTTCTTGTCCTAAAAAGTTTTTATTCTGACAAGTTTGATTGATTTTTACAATGACTAACATGATTAATTTGCAGTAGATGGAGTTTATGATTTTWTAAGTGACTAAAAGAAGGTGTGTATAGATATTAATATTTTTTATTTTTTTTTAAGTGCCCAGCCTTTATGTCAGGATGATTTATTTTATCACGAGTTTGTCTCTTTGGTTGTGGGCCTTTTTCACAACTGGCATAATTTGTATCCWGAACATGCTTTGAATGCTTCTTTACTGAGTTTATAAAATAAAATAAAAACTTTATTTATTTAAAAAAGCATTTTTTTCTTTCAAAGGAAAAACAAATCCTCTTTCTTTTCTGTGACTTTAGGATGAATCACATGAATGATTAGAAAAAATATGTTCCTACAGAAAAATAGGGATGCATTAAATATAATAAATATAGCCCATTTAAAAACAACTACCATTGGTCAAAGGTCTACAATTCAAATAATGAAATATAAAAAATAATACTGAAAACAATAAACCATAACAACAAGATATAAATCAGTTACAATAGTCAAATGTCATGCAAGTCACAGTCACTATTGTTCACTTTAAGTAATGCTGCTGAAACCGAATGGAGGCATATGGGAAATTGGCCCAATGTAGCAGCATTTAATAACTTAGTAATTTAATATTGGAGCAGGTGGGACTTTTGCTGGCTGCTGACTGAAGATTATCTGAGTTTGATGCAAGTCTTAGAACTTCCATCTTAAAGTTATCACAGGGGAACAATACTGGACTAAACACAAGCTGCTAAAATTTTCCCCAAGTATCCCAGTGTTGAGCAAAAAAAGCTTAATATTTCATAGAACCATTAATGGCTGTAATAARGYCATGAAAACCAAAAGTCATAGTAAGTATTTCCTTTCATAAGATATTAGCAATTAAAAGTTGTGATGTTTGCAGTAGGATCAAGTATTTAGGAGTAGATAAGTGGCAAAACTACAGAGGATGAACAAACAGGATCCAAATAGTATGTTTTTCATGGATCAAATATAAATGAAATGTAATGAGCTCCGTAATGACGTAATGACTCCCACCACCCACTGGAACACAAGTTAGGAGTGATCAGGACTCTGTACCACAGAGCAGACAGTGTCCCTACAAACCCAGGAGCCAGGGAGAAAGAGAAATCACACACACGACAGGCCCTGGAGCAGTGTGGTTATCCTGACTGGGCTTTCCTGAAAGCAGACAGGAAACACAGACAGGATTCCATGCAACCTTCAGGTGAAAATGAAGACCCCAAACCCAGACCCAAACCAGTGGTTATTCTGTATGTTGCGGGTGTTTCGGAGAAACTGAGACGTTTATTTTCTAAACATGATGTCCCAGTGGCTTTCAAACCCCAAAACACATTACGGCAAAGGCTGGTTCACCCCAAAGATCCGGTGCCCCGGCACAAACAGAGCAATATTGTATATGCTGTTAAGTGCCAGGAGGACTGCGACCAGTTATACATCGGGGAAACAAAGCAGCCACTGTTCAAAAGAATGTCCCAACACAGACGAGCTACATCTAATGGCCAGAACTCTGCAGTTTTCACTCATTTAAAGGCCAGCGGTCACTCTTTCAGAGATGAGGATGTTCTCTTTCTTGATAGAGGAACGTTGGTTTGAGAGAGGAGTAAAAGAAGCCATTTTTGTGAAAAAAGACCGTCCATTATTAAACAGAGGTGGAGGCCTCCATTTTCAGTTGTCCCCCTCCTACAGCGCTGCTATTGCCAGTATCACTCCACCCCCTGTTAACAATAGGTGTTAATTAGGTGTCAACGATAGCCATGTGATGTGAGTATCAGTCACATGGAGGCAGMGCTTAAAAGCCTGAATTTTGCCTGAAACTCTCAGACTGAAGAAGTCTCTTGGAGGAGAGACGAAACGTTTCATTAGAGAAGAACCCGTCCAGAAGACCTATACAATTTTTTTCCTTTTGATTTTTTTTTACCTGGATTACTGAGATGCATCAGGACGTAATGAGCTTTCATTGCCCTCTCGTGGCCACAAAGTAGAACTGCACACGGCAGTTTCATGTCTACACTTCCGGTGTGAAGTTTCAAAATAAAAGTTTTTAATCAGACCTGCAGTTTTGCGCATGCGCAGTGTCTTGGTGAGTTTGTGTATTTTCGCGTTCGACGAAAAGCAGCCTGCTCGATTAGTTCAGGCTGTTAACAAGATGTACGCGAAGTGTCAACCGTAGTTCTTTGTCGTCATTTATTATTTTTAAATAATTTTATAAAACATTATATATTTTTTAAAAACAACATGGGTTTATCACAGAGCTCAGACGGATCTGAAGGAGGAACGTACGGATATCATGTGCACGGCGTAAGGCTGACGGAATTACACTGTTTTGAAGCTGGAGCAGCTTATCTTGACATGTTGCTAACTGATAGCTAGCTGAGTTGTTGCAGCACAGACTAAAACCTGATGATGTGGCACTATTTACCTGCTAATACGAGCGGGCACAGTTGGACATACAACAAATTCTGTGTTTGTAAGAATTTATTAGAAATACAAAAATGAAAACGTCTAACGATCTCAATCAGGCTACATAAAACTGTCACTGAATGACTGTGTTTAATCCTTGACTGAATAACTTTATTGCTGAAAGATTTGTTTCCTGAACACCGTTTTATGTTTAAAATCTTTCACATGAAAACTTTCAAAGTTCTTCCGTAATTGTATTTACGGTTTTGCCTAATTAATTGGTCAGCTGAATGTCAATCAGGATTTGTTCTTTTTAATGGACTTCTTACAAACAATTTAGAGTTTTAGATTTTGATTTAAATAAGTTTAACTATATCTAGTTATTAGGTCTAAAATCACAGTTGCTGATTTATAGTTCTAACATTTTTTATAGAGCAGATAAAAGTTGTGATTTCTAGCAAACATTTTTCTAATTGATCTGTTTGTGTTGTACAAGTTTGAATGTCCTAATTGTATTAGTATACAGCGGGTAAAATAAGTATTAAACATGTCAACATTTTTCTCAGTAAATATATTACTAGAGGTGCTAATGACATGAAATTTTCACCAGATGTCGGTAACAACCCAAGTGATCCATACATACAAAGAAATCAAACCATAAATGTCCAGAAATGAAGTTATTTGTAATAATGTGGAATGGCACAGGGAAAAAGTATTGAACACATGAAGAAAGGGAGGTGTAAAAGGCATGGAAAGCCAAGACACCAGCTGAACTCTCTCAGTAATTTGAAAGCAAGCCTGCCCCTTGTCAGTGCAAGTTAATATCAGCTGGTTCAGTCCCAAATGATGGCCAGGTATCACACAAGAACCATCTGATGATGGGTAAAAGTAAAGAGCTCTCTCAAGACCTTCACAACCTTATTGTTGCAAAGCATAATGATGGCATCGGTTACAGAAGAATGTCTAAACTTCTGAAGGTTCCAGTGAGCACTGTTGGGGCCATAATTCAGAAMTGGAAAGAACATTATTTCACCATAAACCGACCACGACCAGGTGCTCCTCACAAGATTTCTGACAGAGGAGTGAAAAGAATTATCAGAAGAGTTGTCCAAGAGCCAAGGACCACTTGTGGAGAGCTTCAGAAAGACCTGGAATTAGCAGGTACGATTGTTTCAAAGAAAACAATAAGTAATGCACTGAACCACCATGGCCTGTATGCACGCTCACCACGCAAGACTCCACTGCTGAAGAAACAGCATGTTGAAGCTCCTTTAAAGTTTGCTGCACAACATTTAAACAAGCCTGTGAAATACTGGGAGAATATAGTCTGGTCAGATGAGACCAACATTGAACTGTTTGGATGCCAGAATAAACATCATGTTTGGAGGTCAAATGGCACTGCACATCAGCCCAAAAACACCATACCAACAGTGAAGTTTGGAGGTGGGAACATCATGGTGTGGGGCTGTTTTTCAGCATATGGTACTGGCAAACTTCAAATAATTGAAGGAAGGATGAATGGAAAAATGTACAGAGACATTCTTGATAAAAATCTGCTTCCATCTACCAGGATGATGAAGATGAAACGTGGCTGGACATTTCAGCAAGACAATGAGCCCAAACACAAAGCCAAGGAAACTCTCAGTTGGTTTCAGAGAAAGAAACTAAAGCTGCTGGAATGGCCCAGCCAATCACCTGACCTGAATCCAACAGAAAATCTATGAAAAGAACTAAAGATCAGAGTTCATAGAAGAGGTCCACGAAACCTTCAAGATTTGAAGACTGTTTGTGTGGAAGAATGGGCCAAAATCACACCTGAGCAATGCATGCCACTAGTTTCTCCATACAGGAGGCGTCTTGAAGCTGTCATTGACAACAAAGGCTTTTGTACAAAGTATTAGATAAATTTCAGTAAGTGTGTTCAATACTTTTTCCCTGTGCCATTCCACATTATTACAAATAACTTCATTTCTGGACATTTATGGTTTGATTTCTTTGTATGTATGGATCACTTGGGTTGTTACCGACATCTGGTGAAAATTTCATGTCATTAGCACCTCTAGTAATATATTTACTGAGAAAAATGGTGACGTGTTCAATACTTATTTTACCCGCWGTATGTGAAGGTACAGTTCTAGCAGTTACATAACTTGTGTTGGTTTTTGCAGGTGCAGCCTAATTCCCCTGCAGAAAAGGCAGGACTGCAGCCTTTCTTTGACTTCATTCTTTCTCTGGACAACAAAAGACTTGTAAGACTCGTTGATGGAATGCTTATTAAGGTTCTTAGAGAGGTACAAGTGAACTGAGCGTGTGCTATTTTTGTTTCATTCTTTGCTAGAATGAGGAAAACGACGTGTTAAAAGAGATCCTGAAAGCCAACGTGGAGAAAGCCGTGAGGGTTGAAGTGTACAGCACTAAAACCACGAGGGTCCGAGAGCTGGACGTGGTGCCCAGTAACATGTGGGGCGGCCAGGGGCTCTTGGGTGCCAGCGTTCGCTTCTGCAGCTACCAAGGAGCAAATGAGAATGTTTGGCATGTACTGGTGAGTCATCAAAAAAATATGAAGACTTTTCTTCTTCTATTTGCTAATATTGTGACATGCATATGCTTCAACTACAAAAAGTCAAAGAAAACATCTATATATGTAAGAAAAATGGCATAATCCACACAATTTTATCCATTTCGTCACATAACTGGCATATTTTCTTTTGATCTTGTCTCAGCCAAAGTGAAACAGGAAGTGACATCAAAGGGGAAGACTTTAGGAAAGAAAACTCCCTTGTCTTTGTTTTTTGGAACGTTATTTTCACTTTGACTCTTCTTTATCTCTGATAAAAGCTCCAAATCTGAATCTAAAGAAACATCAGATTCTTTCTCTACAGTCTGTATTGTTGGTCATTGTCGCGATGATCTGCTTACATGCAGACATCCCCCTTTGACATCACTTCCTGTTTCTTCACATACAAATATCTCAACAACTGTTGGTCTCAGCAGCATGATTTTTTTTAGCAGTATGTTATCACCGTTAACTTTACAAACATGTATTCATATTTATTACAAAAATTTGATGTTACAGGCACTTTAATGAGCTTGAACAGACGATGGATTTGTGTTGCTTTTGTGCTTCAACTCAAACTTCTTTCTTCAGGACGTAGAGGCCAGCTCTCCTGCAGCGCTGGCCGGTCTTCAGCCCTACAGCGACTACATTGTTGGAGCAGATCAGGTGCTGCAAGATGTAAGAATCATTTTTTAAATCAACTCATCCTCACTTCTCCTGCATTCTGTAGTTGCTCATGAATGATGCATTACTTGAAAAGTAGGTAAATGAACAATTAAAATGTGCACAAGTGAGCGACTGTGTAAAGAACGATCCCTGTTTACAGTCAGAAGACTTCTTCTCGCTGATTGAGGCCCACGAGGGGAAGCCTCTGAAGCTGCTGGTGTACAGCACACAAACAGACGCCTGCAGGGAGGTGCTGGTCACACCCAACGGAGCGTGGGGAGGAGAGGGCAGGTATGGGATGAAGACCATTAAACGAATATTAGTGTCATACTTGATTTGTTTGACCTTACTAAGGTAGTGCCACATGCAGATACATTTGATTCATTATGTATTTACAAGTGATGCAACATAACATTATAACATTTTGAACTAGTAGTGCAATGTTACTCATGGAGCGTTTTGAATTTGTCCTCAGTTTGGGTTGTGGCATTGGGTATGGCTACCTTCACCGCATCCCTGCAGACCCTGATGTATCGACACCTCCCACCGTTGTTCCAGAGGAGAACCCCTCTCCAKAGCAGCCTTCGCATGGACACTCAGAGGTGGATTTTTATGTTAATATCCCAGCGTCAGTAAATCAAAGTCCTTTTATCTTTTGTCAAACAAAGAAAAGATCCAGAGATCATGTCTTCACAGCGTTAAATGCTGTCATTTTTAAAGATGAAATGAAACCACACATTTAAAGTAGGGCTGGGCGGTATGACCTCAAATTCATATCACGGTATAAATTGAATCCCTTCACGTAACTGTATATATCGCGGTAGAAAATTATCATAAAAAGCAAAAAAAATGTAATTTTTAGAGCATTCATTTTGCAGAAAACTGTAATTATAATCAAAGCCAGTATTTTTGCTGTAGTGCAAATGAACATAACAGAAGTACAAAATAATGTTTTATATATATTGCAAAACGGTTTCAACAAACAAAAATTTCTCAAATTTTCAACAAAATCAAAATAAAGTGGATGTTATAACCAGTAATTCAAGTAAAATTAGTCATTTAGACATAAAAACAACTCTAAGTTGGCAGAAGTTGTCTAAAACGTTATAGTGTGACAGGACCTGAATAAGCTGCACATAGTCCTGTCAAAACTATTTCAGATAACTGGAATATAAGTGTGGTGAAGCCCAATAAATGTAACATCTGCCTGCCATATTATGATCTTCTGCCTGTTGAACTGACCTGCTGCTCTCAGCCTGTTACATTAGCAAGATGGATTTATGACTGAACGAACGTCCACGTCTTGTTTTATCATCTCTGTGGGTAACAAATCATAAAAAACAAGTATTTTTTCTCCGACAACTTGGGTGTGAAAAAWCTACGGTTGTTAAAGCTTCMCTCTGCGCGACGTGCAGCGAGAGCGAGGGAGGAAGTGATCCCGACGTAACTTTTCTACAGCGGGAGAGGGAAATTTTGAGGATTTATTCTCTCTATGCGTGTTTTAAAACGCTATAATTTCTTCATTATATTTTGAACTCCTCCTGCTGAGTCGTCTCTGCACTCACAGCCCTGTTGACACAGGTGTGATGATGTAACTGACGACAGGACGGTAGAGGGTAAATTTCTACTGTAGGCCAACTTCATACCGTTTCTACCGTCTACCACATATACCACACAGCCCTAATTTAAAGCAATGCTTATCAGCATCCACCCAACCTGTTCTTATCCAGGCACCTGCAATGACCTCTTCAAGTCAAAGTGAAGGTTTGTTAGATGTGGAGCAGATCACCCTACAAGAAGCCTCACTACCCCCTCCCATTCAGAGAGTCATGGACCCTGGTCAGTATCCAGAGATTAATGCTGTATGATTGCAGTAATCTGTTAGGATTCATGAAAACCCCGTCGATCTGCGCTTGATGCTTCTTTTTCAGATTCTGAAGTAACGGCGCTGAACCCTGATCCCTCAGAGCTGATGGACAAGCTGGACGTGTCCACCTCGTCCATCGACATGACCAACACTTCGCTGGCTATGCATGAGGAGAAAGAGAGCGAAATATCTGGCGTTGGTGAGAAAACTCAGTGAAAAGGTGGGAGAGCTGAACGCTCTGCAGGAAAACTGACATTATCTTTATTCTGTCGCGCAGCAGAGCTGGAGAACAGCGCCCTGCTCTCGTTATCAACGGAGCACCAGAGCGCGCCGCAGGAGCTGGACCCCCGGTCAACCAAAGACCTCCCCGCCGCCTGCGCGCCGCCCGATGCTTCGTCTGATTCAGGGGGTCCGTCAGCCGAAACCCCTCACCTGGGTGCAGAGTCTGCAGACCAACACGGCTGCCCCACTGAACCCAGCAGCAGTCCAAGTCCGCCTGAGGAGTCCCCCCTCTCTGTCGCAGACCTCATCCCAGCCTCCACGTTGAGCGAGTCGCCTGCAGATAGCTCCGCCCCTCAGACCACTGAGCACACGGAGGGGTCCACGGGGTCCGCTCATGAGTGTGAGCATCAGCACAGCGAGGAGGAACCAGATTTGATGTAAGCTGTCATCAGGCTGAGCAAAAAGAACAGATGCAGTATGGAGTCGACAATCAATGTTTGTTTTTAAATGTCAGAAACAGGGTTTTGTTTTGTTCCTGTGAAGTACGGCTGCACTCAACACTACACAAACACAAGCATTACCACACACTACACAAACATTACCACAGGAGAGTGAACATACCTGCAGGGACTACAGCCTGTTTGTTTTGTATGCAAACATTGGAAGTTGCTGATTATTTAGGCCAAATATTTGAAAGACAATCTTTCAAACTGGATAGAAAGTCAAGTTACGCATAAAGTGAAATTTTGCTTCTGGTACACTAAAGAGATAAATACTTGAATTGTTCCATAGATAAAGATTTACTACTGCAAAGCACAGCTGCACCTTCGTAACGTTTAAAGGTACTCAATGCAAACCAAGAAATCAAATGTAAAAAAAGTTGATCCTGATCTGTATCAAATCATGCAGTTTAAAAGATATGAAATTTTGAAATGTGGGTACGTACTCAATGTAAACAAATCACTTTTAGCTGCAAACTTTACTCTTCAAACCGGAGTGTAAACACGTACCGAGAGTTCTCCATCCCAAATGGCTCCTCCTTCTTCAGCCTTTGTTGGAACAAATGTTTTTATCATTTCGACTGTTCCAAAAGGGAAACAAACACGTGCTGTAACTGACATCTGTCAACACAGTTTTCATTTAAGGACACAATCATAAAAGAAATATCTTGGGTCTAGTTTTTTTATTTATTTTTTTAACCAGTCTTAAAGCATTGAGTACCTTTGACCCAACTTCAACACTACTAGACTGATAGCTGCTAAAATTAGCCGCAGCCTTTTTGTTGGTGCACTGTTACAACTCTAAAGGTATTTTAAATACTTTTACTCAGTAAATACTTAAAGAGCTTTAAGTTATACGACACTTTTAGTTTCTGTCCTCTGCATTGGATTTTAAAGGGCTTTTGCTGTAGTAATATTTGTCCTGTTGTGTTGAATACATCAGATAAGCTAGATTAAGGATGGTTTAGTTGTTTTACAGAGTTGTTATAACAGATTTCGACTGTCCAGCTGGTTTCACGCCCTCTAATTTAGCATCATTTTTGCTTGTAATACATGTGGTCTATGCAAAACTGTTCTGCCTGGAAGTTTAGACGGTGAATTCATTATGTATTTCTAACAGACTCAGAATATTGAATATCGGAGGCAGATATTTCCTGCGCAGCTGCTCGTGGGGCTTCTTTAATTATTTTTGTCAAAGTAGGTGCTAGTGTGTAAAATAAGGAAGGGTATTTTTGCAGGTATTTTACTGATTTGTATGTTTTGTTAGGAGTAAAAGCTGAGTGTTTTGATAATTGTCAAATGAGTGAACCTTACTGGAATGTTAAACAAACATATCACTTTAAAAAAAAGTGTCCCTTGTTTTTATTTCACGCTCATCAGCTGAACACATTACAACTCTAGAAACATCCATTCATAATCCCTACAGTTTAGTCATTAAGACCGTTCCAATTTAGTTGTTTGAATGCCTAAAATATACATATCTCACAAGTTATTACAACAAGGAATATTGCAGCAGTATGGCCTAATCGTGGTACACATTCTATGTTTTGGCCAATTAGAGCTCACTCGATGCAYTCTCCTTTATGGCGTCGTCCACTTGCGTCATGGCAAAATTACCTCCAGAATATTTAGATAAAGTATCCACAGATGTTAGCGATTATTTCACTTTGGTGAGTTTCCCACATTGGCTGGATTCTCTAAAAAAATCTCTTGTCTCCTTTAAGTTATATTTACTCTTAATAAATCTAAATGACATATACACAAGMAAACCCTTCAATGTCCATGTCTTTGCTTCATGAGCCAAACACAGCATGTGAGCACAAGTTTTTCATTATATTCCTTATAAATGAGTTTCTAATTATAAGTTGGACGCGAGTAACATTTGCCCTGAATACAACAAATGCAATTCTCATCCAAAAACTACTGTCATGATGATGTGCTCTTGGAATTTGGGGGAAAAACAAAACAAAAAAAACTTGTTAGTTTGTATGGAAACTGTACAAGAACAAAAACCTGCCGCAAAAGAAACTCATTTGAATCAAAAATGTTGCGCATATATTTACAAAAAAGTAACATTCTATGGAGAACAGCACAGCTAAAAATCAAAAACAAAAAACACAAGATGTGTCTGTCAGTGAGGTTCTGTAAGAATTAATGTCTGAACTGAAGGTTAAGTTGACGTCTACAACAGAGCAGGTGTTTCTTTTTTTTTTGGGGGGGGGGGGGGGGGGGGCTGTGATGCTACCCAGAGACCAGGTGTTCTCCTACAGAGGTGGTTCTGCTGAGACAGGTGCAAAGTGTTTGTAGAACAAGGACAGTTTCTGGAATGTACTAGAGCAGTCTACTACATCCATGTGCATAAACACATTCAGACACAAACACAGACTGGAACTTCAGTCGCCTCAAAATAAACGCCATTCAGGCAAAGATCGAAGGAAACAAAAAACCTGCTGAAATCTGGAAACAGTCCATTCCTCAAACTGTTAAAGAACCATTATGGACCTCTTATTTTCCCAGGGGTGTGTTGGCTGCGCRGGAGTGCTCAGGTCTCGTCCCTATGATACATGGTGAATCATGTCCTCACACCTTTACTGGGTTCTCATTGATACTGCGACTCTGGACCACACAATGGGATATAGGGTACTACATGTTGGAGGTGGGCGGTGATTGGCAAATGACGAAGAGTTCTGGTTGTAAAAATGACGACTTTCATGTGGACTTCTGCCTATAGTGAAGTGTCAAGTCCCCTCCGCTCTTCCAGATAAAATGTTTAACTGTCCGCAGGTCCATGTTGGGGTCTAGAACCTGATGAACACAAAAACAAAGAGGTTACTGAATGGAACGATAGCTGAGGTAACTGCACTCTGGTGGCTCTACGATGTTTAACGTATTTAAAAAGGAATAAGTCAGCGTGCCTGGTCCTGACACATTAGCTCAATCTTCTCCTCGGCTAGCATGGCCATGTCCTCCTCCTTCTCCTGCTCCCCTGGTTTATCGTTGGCCGAGGAYCTGGTGGTCTGCGACTCGTTGTCCAGGTTGATGATCTTCTCGTAAACGTGCTCCATCACCTTCCTCACCTGGAGCATGTCACTGGCTGAGAGACGGTCCCTAAAGA